GGGGTTTGTTTTATATTTCAACCTTGGATCCTAAATTGGAGCCAGATGTGGGTCAAAGGAGGAAACAACCCCTGAAGATAAACAAGGTCAGAGGTGGAAGCTGTGTACCTCAGGCTGTTTCATAACTGTTATTGAAGCCATGCAGATTCACCCTCACACTGCAGAGCAAGTAGCTAGTCCCTGGAAGAAGAGGCAAATCTGGGAGCCTGGACTCAGCCCCGGAGTTATTCTTAGCGACAAGTTGCCACTTCCAGGCCACCAGAACATGTTGAGGTTTAACCCCAGTTATGGGTCTAATGGCAATAAGGAGTGTTTGGGGTAGGTTTTAAGGAAGATGGGCATTGTAACTCCGGGGGACAAATCCCAGGGCAAAATACCTTTGAAACCGAAATCAGTCAAAGGGAGAAATAAAGTGGGAGAAACCTGTTTATTTCTTACAAGCAGTCGTCCACTTCTGCTTGCCCCGTGTTTCTTGCAACCTGGCTGCAGAAGAAGAGACCCCACCCAACCTCTCTGGTAAAAATAAGCCCTCCCTTGAGCTTGTAGTTTCCTATTGATAGGGAGATTGACTCCTCTCCACCCCTTGGAAATACCTATTGATATGGAGATACACTAAGGCCAGGCTAGAGATTCTGGAAATATTGCAATTTTACCCACAGGCATCCTGTCTTTTGTGAGGTTTGCACTCCAGGTTAGGTAATTGCAGGGATTTTGTGGGGAAGGAAAGACTCCTCAGATACAGAAGTGCAAGCTACTTTTTTCCTTAGAGTTTTATTAGCTTTAGTTTTTCATTAGGTCTGTGATCCATTTTGAGTTGATTTTGTATAAGGTGTGAGGTATAGGTCAAGGCCTATCATTATTTTACATGTATGTATGTATGCATTTATTTGCATCTGAATGTGCAAATGTTAAAAATACCATAATTTTCTTTGTTAAAGAATATTTATTTATTTTTAATAAAGATGCCATAATTTTTCCATTGAATTGCTTTTGTAGCTTTATGAAAGCACAATTGACCATAAACACAAGGGTTTATTTCTGGACTCTAAATTCTATTTCATTGACCTATAGATCTATTATTTTGCCAATACCACACTGTCTTGAGTCCTTTATGTCTTAAAGTTAGGTAGTATGGGACCTCCAATGTTGTACACTTTCTTTTTTTCCTTTTTGTTGGCTTTGTCCTTCCTTTGTCTTTCCATATAAAATTTTGAATCAGCTTGTCTGCAACTATTAAAAATCCTTTGGAATTTTGGTTTGGATTGTACTGACCTTACAGAATGGTTTAGGAATAATTGACATCTTAATATTGAGTTTTCCAATCCATGACTACTCTATGTCTCTGCATTTATTTATTTAGATTTTCTTTGGCTTTTTTCATCTGTCTTTTGTAGTTTTTAGTGGATAAATTCTGCACCTACTTTGTTAAGTACTTTATTTTTGGTACTATTGTAGATGGTATTTTTTTTGACTTCAAGTGTCAGTTGTTCATTTCCAGTATATAGAAATAAGATCAACTTTTGTATATTGACCTGTGTTCTGCCACCTCGCAAACTCACCCTTGGTGGTGTATATTCCATAGGTTTTGACAAATGCATAATGCCATGTATCCACCATTCTAGTTTCATACTGAATAATTTCACTAACCTAAAAATTCTTTGGCTCCACTTTTTCATCCTCTTCTCTCATCTAAATCTTGGTAACCACTGATCTTTTTATTGCCTGTTAGGCAGGAAAATGGATATGAGTGGGGTGGAAAGAGAATAAGACCCTGTAAGCTCACTAAAAAAAGACCCAGAATCATTGAGTTAATCAGCTAAAGCTCAAAAAGCCAGGAGTGACTTGGCCTGGAATGATTGAATATTCCCCAGATAAAGGAGGGTACCTCAGCATAGCCCATGTCTTTATTGTGTTAATCATGCAGGCCCAGCTTATTTTTTTTAACTTTACCTATATGCTATTTTTACCTCCTACAGCCCTAATCAAGTAATTTGCAACCTGGGCAACTGATTTAGCATGCAGGTCCAGCTGTAAACAACATAGTAAAAGGCAGCTAGCATTCCATCTTAAAGATAAAATTGCATTTTAAAAACCCAGGAAGTTAAGAAGTAAGATTCTAACCTTTTAGCAAACAGACAATAGCTCACCCCACCTCAGGGGCTAGGCAGGCAGTCTTGTTTGAGATGCTCCCAGACCAAGATGCCGGGAGAAATCAGAGCAGTAAATTTCTTGTGTTAATTTTAAATGTTCAGAGACCACTTCATAAGTCTCCACCCCCAGCCCTTGGACACATTCCTGAAAAATCCTTAAAAGGGGAGAACCCCCAACCTTTCAGGGCACTCCTCTCTCTGAGGTTGCCCACACTTTCGAAGTGCATAACCTTTTAGTCTTAAACTTTCTCTCTCCAACTTTTCAGGGTGCCTCTCCTTGCTGAGGTGGCCTGCTGCACTTTTTCTCTCTTTAAGTAACTTTAAAGTGAAACTTTTACTCTGCTTCAGTACTGTGGCTCTGCCCTTTGATTCTCTGTTGTGGTGACAAGGACCGAGGAAAATACAAATGCTCCCCTAACACTTTCATAGTTTTGCCTTTTCCAGAATGTCATATAGCTGGAATCATAGGGTGTGTAGCCTTTTCATATTGGCTTCTTTCAATTAGAAATATGCATTGAAATTTTGTCCATATCTTGTCCTGGCTTATAGCTTACTTCTTTTTAGTGCTGAATAATAATTCACTATGTGAATGTACCACAGTTTGTGTATCCATTCACATACCGAAGGACATCTTGGTTGCTTCTAATTTGGCAGTTATGCTTTTGTGCAGGATTTTGTGTGGATATGCTTTCAACTCACTTGGGTAAATGCTAGGAGTGCAATTGCAGATCGTATGTTAAGCATATGTTTGTTTTGTAAGATGGCTCTTTTTTTTTTTACCGTTTCTATTTCTCTGCTCATATTTTCTGATTTTTCCTTTTGTTCAAGAGTGTTAACCTGTACTTTATATCAGATAGTTATAATAGTTGCTTAAAGTCTATGTCTGATTATTCTTGGTCATCTTAGTGGGTAGCATTTGTTGACTGCCCTTCCCTTCCAAATTTGTCATCTTTTCTTGGTTCTTTTTGTGTTGAGTAAATCCTGATACTTGGAATATTGAATTTGGTTCCCATTAAAATCTTCCAGAGAACATAGAATTGTTCGATTATTTTACCAGTAACCCAGTTGTTTTGTTTTTGGATGTCTGGCTATATTCTACCATACATATACATGATAGAATATATGTATATACACACATATGATATATGCACATGTATATATATGTACATCTATATACTATATTCTGTGGGTGACAGTTCCAATGTCATCTCAATTTTTGGAACCTTTGCTAGGCAGTTTTGACTATGTTCCATGCATGCACAGCTGAAGATTAAGCCTGGGCTTCTTGCCAGTTTATACACAGAATCAGGACCTTTTCTCTAACCCACTTCTGTCCAGGATTCCCCCACATTCACCCACCTGCAGGGCCCCCTATTCTTGGTCCTCTGGCCAGATAGGTGGGGGTTGTCTCAAAGTCTCGGATGCCTGTGCCACTACATAGGCCCTGGAAACAGGACCACTCTTGGTGCTAAGTGGAGAGAGAAAAAAGAGAAAACTTACCCAGTGACTTACTCCAATTCTCTTTGGGCCACAAGAACCCTTTTCTGTTTATTTCACCAGAGGACAAAGTTTCTATTGCGATATTACCTGGACTTGCCACTTGCCAACCCTGGCTGGCTCTGTGAGGGTACCACCCTTGGCAAACTCTGAGAGAAAGGACACAAACACACACAGACACATACTCAGAGAAAAAACAGACTCTTGCCATCTTCTGTAGCTCAAGGGGCCCCTTTTCTCAGTCTTCTTCCAGACAGATATTTCTCTTGAGGTAATAGCTGTCTGCACCACCATGACTGCCTTTGGCTCAAGAATGTGAGAAAACAGAGGAAGTGCAATGAGGACCGACCCCTGTGCAACTTGATTTTTCAGCTTTTGACTCCCTTCCTTAATCTGAGTGGGTTTCTTACTTTTCAGATTCCTTCTGTTGTTGCTTTTTGTATCTTGTCCAGTGCACTTGGTTGTAATCAGCAGAAGAGATGGATGTCAGTGAACCGACTGCACACTGCACATCCTTCTGCATCCTTTCTTCATTTCCACCTCAGCTGCCCTCGCTGCAGTGCAGTGACTGACACCTACTCTATCCTTGCATTCTGGGAACTATTTTTTTTTTTTTTTGAGTTCCTCAAAAGCTTTCATTCTTTTTATTTTTGACCAGCATACTGGCTGGTACACACTGCCAGGTAGGCATTCAAAAAGAATTCTTTTTAAATAGGCAACTTATAACACTGGAAGGATTTCATTTCCGTGTTTCAGAAAACACAATTATTCTTGGAAAGGGTTTGTTCTTCTACGACTCTGGGTAACAGAGGTTTTGTCCTGCTTTTTATAAGCCACCTCGGACAGACAGTGGAACACCTCAGCTCAACATTTAAGTGCTTTGGAAGGGCAGTAAAAAACTCAAGAAATTCAAAAGCTGTCATAATCGCAGGGGAGACAGTGGGTTCTATAGCTGAGGGAGGCTTCACAGTACTCAGAAGACACAGAGTATTTCTGTGTCCCTCCCCAACCAGGGACCTCCGGGACAGCTCCCCTGGCTGATTCCTGCAAATCTTCTGAAAGAAGACAGACCAACACGAAAGATGGTGAGCTTCTCTGACCAGCCCAGGCCTCATGGGCAGCATGGCCCAGGAAGTGGTTCAGCTCCTGAGCTGTCAACCCCAAGTGCATCCAATACCTGTCCCACCAAACAGAGTAACAGAGAACCAGAATTACACATTCAGGGCTCTCCTGAAAGGAGTGACATCCTTCTCCTTCCACTTGGTTTCCTGGTATTCTGTGTGCAGTAGAAATGGACAGTTTTTACAAACTAAGTAACTTTCTTAATATACAATAAAACATCAGTACATCCAATTCTCTGTGAAAAGTTCTTTCCCATTCAATTCTCAGAATTAACTTACAAAGTTTTGTGCAAAACACTGACCACAAATAAATAGGGGAGAAAAGTGGGAAGAGTTAAACTGTCTTTTGTTTTTTAAATTAAACGGTAAAAACACCAGCTGCACTTCAAAGTATTTGCAGGAAGAAATGCATGAAGAAGGCTATGAAAAACAGCCCTCAGAGTTGGGGGTGCATTTTCAAGTGATGTTTTCTGTGTTCAAAATTCACAATGGATGCCTCCACTGAGATCCTTCACCACGCCCTCTTTGACAAGCTGGAGGAGGAACCTCGTTTCTGTAGTCACATTATGCATGGTCTGGAAGTTCATGGCAGCCATGCAGAGATTGTCGAAGTAGTGCAAAGGTGTTTTGGGCTGACTGAGGTCATAGCCAAAGCCTGCTAAACTGACCTCATCGCACAGATGTGTGGCTAAGACAACAGCAATGACACCCATGGTGGGGATGTTCTTGTCTTGGCCCCAGAACCTTGACTGAGGCTCTGAGTACTGAAGGATGTCAAAGGCAGTCTCTTTGATAATAACTGGATTCAGAATCCTGATGTGTTTTGGCTGCAGTGGAATTTTTTCTGCCACCTGCTTCCAAAAGAAAAGTCGCACCCAGAATGGCAGGGTTTCATTTTTTACCATTGCTTGAAGCCAGTTGAAGTCAACACTCTTAAACAAAACAGCAACAAACAAGTCACTGGAATAATATTCAAGGTCAGACAGTGGCGCGCCCTCTGGATAAGTCATCCTTATAGTAGTTTTATTACCAACATGCTCTGAATATCCCTCAACTGGTGCACTGTTTAACCTTATCACAACATCGAACTGGTTCAGGGCATGGCCCAGTTCCAGTCCATGGAGTATTCCACCACTTCCAATAACCACACAACGCCTACAACTCTTGGCTTTCAAGTGTTCAGGGAAGCCGTGCTCAGGCAACATGTCCAAGAGGGTCTGGACTTGACTGGAGAACTTCCGGAATCCAAAAGGAGGACTGTACTTGTTTGTACTCAGCTTCGTCCTCTTTGGGGGCCTCCTTCACGAAAGGCAGTAAGTCTGAGCTATACCTGTGCTCAAACAACTGTGCCATCGATGCCTTCGCAAACTGGGGTCGGCACTCTTTTTGCAAGACTTCCTGGGCATATTTCTGAGCTCTCTTTACACGGTCAGGGTCCATATAATGCATTTTTTTCATGTCACATGCTTCTGTAGTATAATTTAACTTGAGGATATAAAGGATCCATACTCCAAACACAAGCAATATAAACTTGAGGATGTCTTTTAACAACAAGTTAGGTCTTCTCATCTTGCTCTGAGCTCGGCTTACCATTTCAGGGAGGGTCTCGAGCAATCGCTTCTCAGTTTCCCACAGCTGTACTCACTTGTCATTGCTCGGCCGGCAGGTGCCGCCGCCGCCGCAGCCTCGGTTCGCGGCTGCAGGGTACGCCGCTCCGCGCCGCCTGCCGCCTTCGTCCGCATACTAGGGAAGGGGCGCCGGTACGCCACCCGTCCCCGGCCCCGCCCCCCCGCCTGCCCCCGGCGCCGCGCTCGCGCCCATTCAGTACCGGACCGTCCGCTCCCCCGCGCGGATGCGGAGGAGCTTCTGGGAACTATTTTTATGGGTATTTTTTAAAAAAAGTATACTTCTCACCTTAGGTATTTTAGTTGGGTTTTCACATGTTGGCTAACTAGGTAAAGCTTGTTTAGGAATAGTAAAATTCAAGAACTTCACTTTGAAGCTGACCAGTTAATTGCAAGTCCAGTTTACCATTGGAATGTAAGTATGCAGCCACGACCACCGTCTGTCACTTATGCTTTTCATTAACAATCTTCTTCCTTCTCTATCCACTTACTACGTCTCTGATTTCTTCTTTTCTCCTCCCACACCCATGAGTCACCTCTTTCTATCAGGCTTCCGCTATGTGGGGCACTATCCCCCATCTTAAATCACCCCAGGGCTAGGCACTGGCCAACTAGGGACTGCTCCTGTCGTGGACCACCCGAGAGCCCACTGCAATCACTCAAACTATTGAATCCTAAGCCTGCTCAGCAGCCTACCCTGCCTTTCCCATCCCTTTCTGTGAAAACCAGGATAAAGGCTTTTGACCCTCTCACTTTTTCTCTAACCCACTTCTCTCCAGGATTTCCCCACATTCACCCACCTGCAGGGCCCCCTATTCTTGGTCCTCTGGCCAGATAGGTGGGGGTTCTCTCGAAGACTCGGATGCCTGTGCCGCTACATAGGCCCTGGAAATAGGACCTCTCCTGGTGCTAAGTGGAGAGAGAAAAAAGAGTAACTTTTGCATCTGAAGCCTGCTCAGCAGCTTACCCTGTGTTTCCCATGCTTTCCTCTCCCTCCTGCCTCCTGATCAACCCTGATGCTTCCCTGCACAGATGTACGCAGTGTGGCATGCCCCTTGTTTTCAGAACTGCTAGTAACAAACTATCTTTTTGGTGGGAAGCATCTCTTGATCTGTTGTTCTTTTCATACCTAAATAAAACATATCTTGGGTACATTTTAGAACAACTTTGGCTGCTGGGTTGTGCAAAGGTCTAAGGCACACCAGGAACAGGGTGGAGACATTGGGTAGGGGATTTGGGGTACCAGGTATTTGCCTTTTTACCATCTGGTAGTAGTGGTAAACACTGGCTGAATATAATTACATAATATAATAATATAGTACGATAGAATAGAATAGAATATATAATGTAACTGGCCCTGAGTGTAATCCTTTATTGGTGAATCAGCTATCTGATGATTAGTTAGGGTTAAAGCTGGGAATAAAACTGGCCAAGACTTTCTTGTCTTGTCATACCGCCCTTTTAGAGAAGGATTGCATCTGTTACTCTCCTCAGAAAGCGTTTACTGAGCTCTTAGTAAGAGTCCAAAACCGTAATGGAGGAAGCTGAGCTAGGTACCGATGAAAAATCAGCAGCAGGAGCTGAAGTGGCGGTTCCCCTTCTTTAGGAACTAAAAACCTGGTTGGGAAGAAAATACTTGGTGGGTGCAAACAGACAGAGTGCAGATTAAAAGACAGGCAGTTAACCAGAGCCGTGGGAGCCCAGATCCGGAGGCTGCGAAGCCGGAGACTTCTCCAGAAGAGGAGGATCGGGGCTTGGTCCTGAAATGTGGGCGGGGCCTGGAAAGAGAGGAAGGCCAAGGGGCTTCTCAGCAGGGGAAGAGAGCTGGAGCAAGGCAGGCTGGGAAGACACATGCCTGGGGAACAGTGCTTCAGTCAGTGCTTAAGGCGTCCCCAGAGATGAGCCGGAGAGGGGCAGTGTGGAGGCCTGGATGGAAGTGACGCCTGAGGGAGGCCGAGCTGGAGGCAGACGCGGGGTTTGAGAAGGTATTCTGGCTGAAGAAGTGCAGTCTCTGTACGCAAATGCCAACACCAAGGAGACCTTAGTTGCATGCCAGTTTTCCTTTATATTTGTAAAAAGGCCTCCTTCCATTCTGTTATCATTTAAATCCTGTTTGATCTGAGCAGCCAGCCTTTCCCGAATGACTGGATGACAAGTGGTGACTCTCCTCAAGGAGTATTTGGGAGCTGGCTTGTAACAGTTTCTGAGAACAGAATGATAAATTTTCAGAAATGTTGCAAGCTGATTGTTGAATGTAGCCATTATTGAAAATTAAATTGCATATACTTGCACATAAATCGTACTATAAACAAAGGTAAAAATACTCAAAAACATCACTTTCTGATTTTTTTACCCCATTTTTACTATTACTGTTTCTTGATGTTATTTACATCTCTTATAATTGCATGGTAGAAGTGCTATATGACAGTGGGCTTCTGTGCTTCCACTCGCAGCTCAGGGATCAGTGATGTCACTTTGATGGCTTGAAATTGGTCATGTTAGGAGCATTTACACCACAGAAATCAGCAAATGCTACATCTCAGAGATTACCCCCTCTCCACATTCTGTGCTCCAAGACCCAGTTGGTAAATATTACCAGCATACCACTGGCTTTCTCTTTTTCCTCAATTTGCCAGGCTGCTGCACCAAATTCAGTCTCCAGTCCTACTTTGGAGCATTTGGGAAGTCCAGCATCTTGATCTATCTTTTTGGGGCTGCTTCATGTGGAAGATGAAGGCAGTTTCAGCAAATGGTAAGAACTCACCAGCGTCCCCCTCAGGATTCTCCCTGCAGTTATCCGTCCATCCAGAAGAGATCACGGCATTACAGCAGATTTGAGGAGGCTGGCCCAAAGCCATCCCGTCTTGGGGCAGGCATCCTTTTTCCTTTCAAGGCCCACTAACCTCAGGGGGCATCTTCATGAACACACGTAGGCACAAAAGCACATCTACATCCACACATAATAAAAGCACATTTTTATTTTAGAGTGAAAAATGAAAAATGTTCGGAGCACCCACTTTAGAAGTTAAAAGTAAGAGTTCTCAAACAAGTAATGATAGTTTATCTTTGGGCTTAATCTTATAGCCTTGACTTTATTGCATGGCAATACTTTTCCTTGAATGACAACAGCTGGGAGATGTAAAGGAGGGCAGGAAGTGAAGTAGAAGGAGAAGGATGGGAGAAGGAAAGAGAGAAGAGGAACAGGATGGAAAAGAGAGAAAGGAAGAGAAGAGAACGAATTGTGTGGAGAGGAAAGACATGGAAAGGGCGGGCGGGGGAACAGGTGGTGGTAGAGTGCCAGAGGAGGGGCCGTAAAGGGCGCCAGGGGGGTGAGTTAGCCCTGCCCTGCCCAGCACTCTAAGGGCTTTGCAACAAGCTAAGAAGTAGCTTTTATTCTTATTTTCCATCGTATTGTTTATTTTTGACAATGATATTTTTATATTTTTTACCTTGTGGGAAAATTACTTCGAATTTAAGATTTTAGTAGTTTATACTGGATTATATAAATCTGGCCTGTATTTTGCTGTGATGGATTTAAAGTCTGATAAATAATATTATTTTAAGGAAATTTAAAATGCCTTCATTCCACAATGTCTGTAGATTCCATCTGGAAACAACAATTTGTTTAAAAATACACCTTCTTAGTCTATTGAGGATTTGGTATGAGGGGCACACAATATAAACAACTACAGTGAGAAAAGATTCTTCAACAGGAGGCTTCACGGGGATGAAATTTATATCTTGGTTGAAGCTCCTCTTGTCTGAGAGTCCTGTCTGGTCTGGTTAGGAGAACAGCCTCGTCTCCAAGCAAGGTGAAGTTAAGAATGGACAGAACTGGGGGCATCTTACTACACTGATGGATAGTGACTACAATGGTGTATGGGGGCGGGACTTGATAATATGGGTGAATGTAGTAACCACATTGTTTTTCATGTGAAACCTTCATAAGAGTGTATATCAATGATACCTTAATAAAAGAAAAAAGAATGGACAGAACTGGGTTTCCCACCAAGAGGATGGTAGGTCTGAGTAAGTGTTTACAAGCTCTTGTTTGGTAGGGGGTAGGAAGTCACGCTGGTGCCCTCTTCCACACTACAGGTCGCCTCTGATGGAAGAGAAAGGAAGGAAGCTGCGATCAGCAGTAGCAGTCTTAGTCTGGGATGTTACGGAATTCTGGAGGAGAAAAGTGTGTGCCACTGAGTCAGTAGGGATTGAGTGGTACAGGCAGACAAAGGCAAAGCAGAGGAAAGAAATAAGAGGATGCAAGACTGATCGTGGACTCACTGGGGCCAGAAATGTCCTGCTGGTTGTGACAATGTCAGATATTTGTGTGCACAGCCTATCTCTCATTAGGAAAGAGACTCTTTGTTCTGAAATGTCTTCATCAGGGAAAGTCAAGGAGAAGAGCTTGGAAGGGGATACAGTGAACCCAAGTCTACTCCACCTTGAGGGTGTTGGGGCGGGTCTGCAGAGCTCAAATTCACCTTCTGTAACAGCTTCTCCTGCCTGTCAGCCTACAAGCTCTCTTCTATCTCTGAGTTTGTATAGCCTGTCAGCTCAGCCTGTACAGATAGTGGGAACAGTCTCAAACTGGTTTAAAGGTGCACATTTTTAACCTGTTTTAGGTCAGGGATTGTATTTATATCTCCCTTGTATGGCATTTATTTGTCACATAGTGGGTGCACGAAAATACATGCTAAATGGAAATAGTGTAGAGAGCTCTGAACTTGGAGGCAGATGACCTGGACTTTAATTTGGTTTTATACTTGTTAGCCCCAGCAAGATGCTGATCTCTCAGGTTTCCCATCTCTGCTCTGCCTTCTTCACTGGGTTAATGTAAAAATTCACAAAAAATGTGAATCTCCTTTATTTAGCCTTGACCTTCGCTGTAAGAACTTCCCTGTTCGTTAGCCAGATTTAGACTGGGGAGCGAGCGAGCCCAGGCAGTGTGAACGGACCCAAGCCTGGACCAGCCCTTGCCTGTCACACTGTGGACAAGCTACCTGCAGAATCTCCACTCTTTTCCTAAATACAGTTTCTCTGCGGGCATTTAGCGATCTGTGCTGTAGAGGTTGTACAATATCAGTCTCTGATGTCTACATGGGAAGGCTACTTGTGCTTGCTTATTTATTTAGTTGAAATTGTGTTCAATGCTGAGGACTCAGACATTAAAAAAGATTAGAGTCTAGTGAAGGACAGAACACAAACAAGTAGACATCTAAACAAATGTTTATAAATTGTGGTAAGTGCCTGGAAGGAAACCAATAGGGAGGGTAGCTTGAAGGGAGACTGGGCGCAGTTAGAAGCGTCCTCTGTTAGCAGGGACCCGAGGGAGGACACAAGCTGGCTGTGCAGAAAGCCGCCATGCGGACACTCTGGGCTGAGAGAACAGGATTTGAGAAGGCCTGGAGTTCTAAGAACTGAAAGCTAGCGGGTGAGGCTGGAGTCTGGGGCGGAGAGGAAGGCTGTGACCTGGGAGGAGCTGGGGGGTGCATGGGCCCAGGTCATGATGACTGAGAATCATGGAGTGTGTAGTTTTTCTAAAGTCACCTCATCGTCTGAGTCCAGGACACTCTCTGTCTCAAAGTCAAACTAACAATGTTGCCTTTGATGCTCACACTTAACATCCCCCAGCAAAACCTGGGAGATAATTCTTTTCTCTCCTGTTCTCGCTGACCACTCTATCCCTTATCCAATCTGTGAGCAAACCTGCTAGTTCCATCTGCAGACATCTTTCCAGATCCATCCACATCCCTTGACTTCCACCCTCACTGCCCTGCACCAAGCCACTGCCCCTCTTGCCTGGCCTACTGTAGAAGACTCCAGGCAGTGGTGTGCTGGTGAATTGGCCACCAGGCGGGAGGGGAGGGGAGCCCCAGTTTGCAGTGTTGGCAAGTTTACTTGGTGTAAATATTCACACCATGGCCTATTTTGATCTACTAACCTGATGCCACTATATGTGGTCTTGGGAAGATTTCTCAATGCTCTTGAGCCAGGACAAGCCAGCAGCTGCTCACCGTGCTGCAGCGTTCCTGCCCCCATCTGGTCCACACAACAACCAGAATTATCTTTTGAAAGCACAGATCTGATGATGCCCTTCTCCTCAGTGCCAGTGTTTGACTGTGTCATGACTTGGGTAGGGTCCTCTTGAAAGGAGAGCCCAGACCCGATCCTGGGTTCTTGTCAAGAATTTTGGACCAAAACATGAATTCACAATCAAATTTCAGTATTGTGTCTAGACTGGGTGACCTTAGCCACCCCTGAAATGGGAAATCGACTCCTTTGGTTTGATGAAGGACTTTACACCCTGGGAAGGTGCAATAAGTAAGTATAGGGATGGTGGAGTAAATCAAGCCCGTGGTATTATTACTGCTTCTGTACTCATTTAGGAATAACTTGGTGATCTCTGTGGTAATGTATGTTTTGTTAATTATTTAAGAAGCTTGTTGGAGTGTGTAGTTTTTCTAAAGTCACCTCATCGTCTGAGTCCAGGACACTCTCTGTCTCAAAGTCAAACTAACAATGTTGCCTTTGATGCTCACACTTAACATCCCCCAGCAAAACCTGGGAGATAATTCTTTTCTCTCCTGTTCTCGCTGACCACTCTATCCCTTATCCAATCTGTGAGCAAACCTGCTAGTTCCATCTGCAGACATCTTTCCAGATCCATCCACATCACTTGACTTCCACCCTCACTGCCCTGCACCAAGCCACTGCCCCTCTTGCCTGGCCTACTGTAGAAGACTCCAGGCAGTGGTGTGCTGGTGAATTGGCCACCAGGCGGGAGGGGAGGGGAGCCCCAGTTTGCAGTGTTGGCAAGTTTACTTGGTGTAAATATTCACACCATGGCCTATTTTGATCTACTAACCTGATGCCACTATATGTGGTCTTGGGAAGATTTCTCAATGCTCTTGAGCCAGGACAAGCCAGCAGCTGCTCACCGTGCTGCAGCGTTCCTGCCCCCATCTGGTCCACACAACAACCAGAATTATCTTTTGAAAGCACAGATCTGATGATGCCCTTCTCCTCAGTGCCAGTGTTTGACTGTGTCATGACTTGGGTAGGGTCCTCTTGAAAGGAGAGCCCAGACCCGATCCTGGGTTCTTGTCAAGAATTTTGGACCAAAACATGAATTCACAATCAAATTTCAGTATTGTGTCTAGACTGGGTGACCTTAGCCACCCCTGAAATGGGAAATCGACTCCTTTGGTTTGATAAAGGACTTTACACCCTGGGAAGGTGCAATAAGTAAGTATAGGGATGGTGGAGTAAATCAAGCCCGTGGTATTATTACTGCTTCTGTACTCATTTAGGAATAACTTGGTGATCTCTGTGGTAATGTATGTTTTGTTAATTATTTAAGAAGCTTGGAAAGTTTTTCATTATGATTGGTCATATTGATTTAGGATTTTAAAGTGTTTTAAAGTATTTTAATTAGACATGATACTAATTTGAAGTATATAAAAAAGTCAAATTTATAAGTAATGATTACATGTTTAAGACAACCCGATTGCTCACACTTACATTTTGCTTCTTAGATTTCCAGCAGTTGTCCAAGTGCTTTGACAGATTTCTGCTTCTGAGACTGCCCTGTTGGGGAACTGAAGGGGTTGGCATGATCAGATGTAGTGTATTTGTAAGTATAATTTAAAATGTTTAAAAAATAAACTGCAAATAAAGATAATTCTTACAGTTGTACCAATATTTTTCTAAATAGCATTATTTACAATAGCCCAACCCTGGAACAACCTAAGTGTCCATCAACAGATGAATGGATAAAATGTGGTTCATATACACAATGGAATATTATTCAGTCAAAAAAAGAGAGAAAGAAATCCTTCCATTTGCAACAACATGGATGGGCCTTGAGGGCATTATGCTAAGTTAAATAAGTCAGACAGAAAAAGACCTCACTTACATGTGGAATCTGAAAAAAAAAAACAGAAAGAGATCAGATTTGTGGTTGCCAGAGATAGGTAATGTGGGTTGGGGGAATTGGGTAAAGATGTTCAAAAGGTACAAACTTCCAGTATATATGATAAATAAGTACTGGGGGCATAATATATAACATGATGACTAGTTAATCCTGTTGTGTGGATATTTGAAAGTTGCTAAGAGAGTAAATCCTAAAAGTTCTCATCAGAAGGGAAAAAGTATTTTTTGTTCACTATATGAGGTGACAGATGTTAATGAAATTTATTGTGGTAATCATTTTGCAATATATCTGTATGTCAAATCATTATGTTGTGTGCCTTAATCTCATACAGTGTTGTATGTCAATTTTATCTCAATAAATCTAGAAGAAAAAAAAATCAAGCTACAAGTAAAGCAAACTACAAGTGAAACTAGTTTTTATACTAACATTGTTCAACTTACAAATAGAAGAACAATTTCAATTTGAATCTAGTCTTTTTAAGGAGGGTATTAAACTTTTTAAACTAGTTTTAACTTGAAGACTTTTAAAACTAGGTTTTAAAGTTTACAAGGTTAATAAAGTAAATGTCAGTTAAAGAAAGAAAACTGTTCAGTGCTCCTTTCAGTGTGTGAAAGCCTCTCTTTGATATTAAAAACTCAATTGCTACCTCTTTCTATGTAGGGGAAATTTCTAGAAAGAAAAAAAGACAATGGCTACCCCAAAGTTGGCAGGAAGATTTACATTTTGCTGGATACTCTTTGGCATTGTTTGAAGTTTTAAAAACTATATGTCTGATCTCTTTTTTCAATAAGAAATAAAAACCAGTTAAAAAGTAGCTGGTGGAGAAGTTGGGGTCTGAGGCTAGAAGAAGAAAGAACCTCCTGGTAAATGGCAGGGAGAGAAGGTGAATGTAGGGCACTGTGGGGAATCCAAGGAGGTGGGGCGAATTGTTTCCTGCACAGTGCTGAGGTCTGCATTGCACAAACACATCTCTGAGCCAGGTAACTTTTTAATCAGTTTACAGATGTTACATGAATTCCACCCCACTTGCATAACATGTTCTCTCCCAGCCCTAATGCTGGCCAGGGCTGGAAATGGAGCTCAGGTTCCTGAACACTCTCTGGCTGGAGATGTTGGATCATCACGGGCTTCACCGTCTCTGTTTTGCTAGCATACCTTTCAGTTCTTGGCCACATGGTAGGTGCTCAAAAAGTCTTATTCCTCTTTTTCCTCTCTAGACACAGTGTTTAATTTCTCGGAGGCCCTCGGCTTCAGCTCACGTAGACATCTTCCCTGGGAAGTGCTGCAGATGGGACTTGGTGGGTTCAGAGGTGGGCATGGCCCCTGGGGAGGTGGGAGTGACTGTTCAGGCAGTGTTTCCCCAGGACAGGCTGATGAGGCCAACACAGCAGGTGGCACCTTCACCTCCTTAGCAGAAGTGGAATATTATCATTTAAAACTACTGATATTTGACCAGTGCCTTACAGTGTACACAGTACATTCATATCAATTTTCTCACTGGGTTCTCACAGCAACCCTTTGAGCTCACCCCTTCCATAAGACAGGAAACTGCACATCATTAAGTGATTTACTCCAGGTCAGACCACTGGGGATGGAACAAGGACTCCTACCCAGGTTTTCACACGTTTGCTCTGATGTTCTTTATATTGTGCTGCATTTGACGCCAGAGGAAGTTATCCTGCTCCTTAGCTTGCTGAGCTGATGGTGTGTTGCTGGAAACCTTGGAGCAGGTCTGCTAACCGAGCTGATTTCTGAGGGCCATGCTTCCTTTGGTGGAGCAGCTCTCTTGTAAGAAGGCCTAACCTGTGGCTGTGAATTAATTCTGTGCACCCCTGAAGGACTGCAGCACATTTTAACAGATGGTGCTGGGGAAAGAGCCTGTCTAACTCTGTGCAGCCTTTCAGAGGACCCCCAAAAACCCCAGTGGGACAGCTGTTGGCAGTTGAATGTTATTTCACATTCCTTAATCTAAATCGTACCTTGTTAGATACACTAGCAAGAAGGCTTCAGCTGTAATTGCCTCACTTCGTTTCATAATGAGAACATTTTATTCCTCCACTGAAGGGTGTATGCCAGGAAATTCTGTACTTAAATATTACTAAGTACACCAAATAGCTTCAACACAGAATAACTTCCAAAAAGATGACTATGGTTCAGTACGTAGACTCAAACAAACCAACTCTTAAAATTCACAACAAAACCCAATATTACTTCCTTTATACTGTAAACTGATATAAATCCCACATGGATTAGGGAATTACAATTTAAACCTGAGATATAAAACAAATAGAATGAGTAGAAGAAAATAGGCACAAATACTATGTGATCTTTGAATTTTAGGGTTTCCTAGGTGTAAATGAAGAAACCATAAAGAATAGATTTGCACAGATGGAAATTTTTAAAATTCTGTATATCAGAAAATGTAATAAACAAAATTAAGAGAAAAATGACATCCTGGGAAAAATACTTGCACTTGGCATATCAAAGCACTTAATAGAGAAAATTGGCAAAAGAAGAGAGTTCACACAAAAAGAAATATACCTATCCACTAAGTGTATGTGGAATCATTCGACCTCATTAAAAATCAAAGTGCACATTCAATCCATAGTGAGATACTTTTTATCTACTTAGATTGGCAAGGGAACATTTTCATCTTATATGCTCGTGGAAGTGAAAATTTTGTGGAGAAAATAAAGCAATGTGCATTAAGAGCCATAAAAATTCTTATTTCCTTGAAGTTAACAAGAAACTTGCTGTATGTGTATGAAGAACACCAACCTAAAAATTTTTTTTAATGTATTTATTTTTTCTGTGGGACATACTATGTTTCTGCATAGAAAGATTCAGCTTTGGAAATATGTCAGTTTTCCCCAAATCAATTTTTAAGTTTAATGCAATTCCAATGAAAAACCCTAGTAGGATTTTATTTTGGGAGGTGGATTTTATTTTGGATGGGAATTGAGAAAGTGATTTAAGTTTTTCTTTTATGTTCTGATTAAAGCATTTTCTTGGCCTATAAATAATTTTAGTAAGGAAGAATAAATAGGAAAGCAAGCCACAAAGATTTTAAATAGGAATAATAAATTGGAAAGATGTATGCAGTATGGTCATAGAAGTCACAGAGACTGAAGACAAAGGTTGTTCAAAAAATGACAGCCATACAGATCAAACTGAATGGAGAGAGAACATCTAAACTCTAGTGTATGTGGGAACTTAGCATGTGATATAAATGTAGAAAATACAATTATTGAAAAGATGGTGCTGGGTTGACTAAACTAAATTTTTACCTGGTAGCATATTACAAAACAAATCCCAAATGAAATTAGTTAAATGAAGGGAAATGACACTGTGAAAAACTAGAAGATAAAAATGAATGCCTAAATGATTCTGTAGTGAGAAAGGCCTTTTTAAGTAAACAAGAACGATAAAGGGGAAGATTGATAGAACAGATTACACAGTAATGTAAAACTAACACAAGCTAAACGAACAGGCAATTAACTATTTACAAAAACAAAGTTAAATAAGGGAAAAGCCTAGAGACCTTGTCATGACCACCCTCAGTTTTGGTAACTCACCAGAATGACTAGAGAACTCAGGTGAGCATTATACTTAGGATTACAGTTTTATTATAGTGACAGGAAACATTATCATCAGCACAAGGAGGAGAAATAGAGCAGTCTGGGAGGGGTCCAACCGTGGGGCTTCTGGTTGTCCTCCCCCCATGGGGGGTCATTGGTGGCGCCACCTCCTGGCCACTAAGTGTGACACACTGAGTATTGCCAACCAGGGGAGCTCACCTGAGCCTTTGGCGTCCAGAGTTTTTATTGGGACTCCATCACATACTGCCCACGTGGCTGGCTCTGTCTCTCTCTCTCTCTCCCAGGAGGTCAGACTAGTGCAGTCTCCAGTTTCTCTGGAGGTGGGAACACGTGCAGCATGGCTCAGAGCCCCTGTCATAAACCACGTCATTAGACAGGTGGCCAAAGCCCCCAGGCAAACAGACACTCTTTATCAGGTGGGGCCTTCCAGGGGCTGAAAGAGATCACTGGCCAGTAGCCAGGCACAAAGGCCAGACCAGTGTTTGAGAAAGGTTAATTCTTCAGTCCACGGAGAGAGACCTATCATTTTTTTGCCTTGCTGGTCGACAAAGTGTAGCAGATGCCATCCGTGGTGGGACCTATCCCTGAACATGTAAGCACACTTCAGTGGACTTCTAATTGCCAGTACCTCCATCTCTGTGCCTGAAAACTTGTTTTTAAATAACTTTTTTTTTAAACAGAGGACCCTCTGCCCCCTCCCTTCAAGTGGCCCTCACTTAACCTTGGAATTGGCGTATGATCTTAATTACATGGAGTTGGCATATAATCCTGAGCCATCCAGGTGCAGTAATTCGGAGGCATTTCACACCATTACCCAGAGTTTCCCTACGAGATTAAGCTCCAGCTGTCCACTGTGATAGCTGCCTTAGTAGCACACTCTATTAGCTGCCTTGGCTCTGTGTACTTCCTACCCATGTCCCTCCTTATACTCTATTACTCATAAACTTCTTGAACTTGAGTCCTAGTCTCAGGGTTTGCATAGGGGAGACACCGAAAACAAACTTAAAAACAAAATTCATGGATAGCATGAGTATTTGGGATAGACATTCTCATCTCCTTTGTGGAGTATAAATTGGTTCAACCTCGTTTGTGGGTACTTTT